AGGGCCAAGACATCCAACTTCTTTTCATTCATAACATCAGCAATCGTCTGTTTCTTGTCATCCGCACTACATCCACGCACATTTAAGCATCCCAGTTTTATAAAGTTTTTCTTCTTCTCTTTTTTAGTAAATGTCTACAGGAGAAGGGGTTACTAGCCCATTGCTCCCGGCATTTTAGTCGCCTCATACGACACGCATGGCTTACGGAGGAAAGATTCTTTTCCACTTCCCCATGGACAATAGAAGAAATAAAGAGGAACAAGAACTATTTAGAAAAAGGAAAAAAACCTAGATGTATGTATATATATATGCATGTGTGTGTCTGTGAAGTGTGACCAAAGTGTAAGTAGGAGTAGCAAGATATCCCTGTTATCTAGCGTGTATATGAGACAGAAAAAGAAACCAGCAATCCTACCATCATGCAAAACAGTTACAGGTTTCTGTTTCACAGTCATCTGGCAGGACGGTAGTACTTCCCTGGGTGGTTGCTGTCTACCAACCTACTACCTTTATATGTGAACAGTATTTAGATAAAGGTAGGGAAGTTTTCATTGCATTTATTGATTTAGAAAAGGCATATGATAGAGTGGATAGGGGAGCAATGTGGCAGATGCTGCAAGTATATGGAATAGGTGGTAAGTTACTAAATGCTGTAAAGAGTTTTTATGAGGATAGTGAGGCTTAGGTTAGGATGTGTAGGAGAGAGAGTGATCACTTTCCGGTAAAAGTAGGTCTTAGACAATGATGTGTAATGTCACCATGGTTGTTTAACCCTTTGACTGTCGCAAGCCCCCTTTCTGAAACTGTCATTCTATGTCGCAAAATTTTTTGGAAAAAAAAGTTTTTTCTTATGAAATGATAGAGAATCTTTTCCCGATGGTAATGACTATGCCAGTTTGCAGTGATATATTGAAAAGATTAGCCAAAGGTATGCTAAGTTCCTCTTTACATTCCTTTAACCTGTAAACAGTCCAAACGTATATATACATTCTCTCCCGTAGTGCCCCAACTTTTTTTTGAGAATTTTTTTTTTTTTTAATAGGAAAAAAGAGCATATGGTACCCAGGCATCCCCAATTATTTTAATATGGTGCACAGTGAGTGCACACACCCATTCTCTCATGTCTAGGACTACTATAAATTGCAATTATCAAAACATCAAAATTGTATAAATTAAAAAAAAATGAGAAAGGTCGGCAACAAACGCCAACTTTTTGGCCTTATATGTATCTCCATAAGTAATGACTAATTTTTTTTCTTTCTTTCTTTCTTTTCTTTTCTTTTCTTTTCTTTCAAAGTATTTGGAGCACTGGGCGAAAGAACATAGATCTACATTTGAACAGTTAATGGGTTAAATGCTTCTGTTTACTTGTATGTGAGTGGAAAGTCCCAGCTGTTAGTGGAAAAGTTCATATTATTATTGTCCTGTGGTAACTTTGGCAGTGTTGTTCATATTGTTTCTTACGTAAGTTAAACATTTGTTCAACATTTATGACAATGGTTAAAAGGGTGTTGATCAAGTTAGTTTTTTCAGACTGGTTAAGTTGTCAGTAGTGTGCCAAAATCATCTCAATTTCTGTAATGTCTTCCATTCTATAAAATGAGACCAGGAAAATTATAATACAACAATAAATACTATACGAAAATACAGTGCAAAGTCGCTGTTTTAATCCAAAAACACGATCAAAGTTTTTTTTTTCTCATTGCACACTGTGTGCTGCAGGATTTTTTATACTGCGCACACTGACCACATAGACCCATTCTTTCATATGTAGGCCTACCAGCTTTCTCTCACTAGATTTGAGGGCGCTAGAATTTAGGCGTACTAGTACGTCAAAAACCCTGGTGCATAAGCCGTACTAGTATGGCCGAAACCCTGAAAGGGTTAATAACTTACTAGCAATGAAATATCTTCCTTATGTTTATTCTTGCACTTGGTACGAGGAATGTGAATGTGTGATCAGTTTGTTTTTCTCTCACTGAGCAGTTTGAAAACAACACAAAAAGTATTTAAGCTGAATTTTATTGACTTAAGACTGAGGAAGATTGACACAAGTCAGTCCATCTATCATCATTCTATCATGCAGGAGGAGTTGCATGTCTATGGTACATCCAACAATAGAAGCAGACTCTTGGATGTCACTACCCCCTGCCTCTGGCTGGGTTACCAGTACCTTTGGGAGCTTAAATCACTACCACCAGATGTAGACCAAACGAAATGTAAACTTTGCCAGGTGGACAATTGTCACACCTTGCGTCATTATGTACTGGAGTGCGATAAAATTAATGAATTCAGAGACAGTTCACTCAGAATTGTTCAAGATATGTCAGAGTATTTTATCCACAGGGGTATATTACAACCCATTCTGAAAAAATAACCTAACTTTTACTCACTGTAAATAAGACTATTACTTATTTGTGTGTGTGTGTGTGCATACAGGGACTTGGATATTCACTTATATGTGGTTGCAGGGGTCAGTTAAATACTTCCTAACATCCTTTGACTTATCTGAGTTTTCAACTTCCAGCTGTGTCCCTTTGTTTTTGTGTCCCTTCTCTGAAACACACTGTCCCTTTCCACCTTGCCAATTCGTCTCACTATTTTATACATCATTATGATGTCTTCCCTATCCTCTAGTATCATCAGGTTGAGTTTCCATAACCTCTCATCATAAGACATACCCCTTAGCTCCAGGACAAACCTTGTTGAAAATTTTTGCACTTTCTCCAATTTTTTGACATGTTTTAGTAGATGTGGGTTCCATACTGATGCTGCATGCTTCAGTATTAGGTGTCAGAATACTATTTTCAGGTTTGCCGGGTGCCCACCTGCTGCAGCAGTTACTTAGTTGATGTGTGCCTAAGTGGACGTGCTCAGTATAATGCAATGATCACTCCAAGATCCTTTTCCTAAAATGAGGTTTGCAGCCTATGATCCTCTAGCCTGTACTCCATCTGCAGTCTTATTTATCCTTCCCCAAGCTTCATGACTATGCACTTGGTGGGGTTAAACTCCAGGTGCCATTTATCAGACCAGGCTTGCAGTCTGTCCAGATATCTCCCTTTGTAATCTTTCCTGATCCTCGTCCACTTGTATTCTCATTAGTTTCTTATCATCAGCAAACAGGATCACCTCTGAATCTATTCCTTCCATTATATCATTCACATATACAAGAAACAAACTACTAACAAGTATTGTGTATAGAGTACGTATTACAATACAATAAGTCTAAAAGTATATTACGGTATTTATTTAGATGCTGTACAGGACTTCATAATATTGTTTAATTGCTCCAGAAACAGCTCACTTTCAATATACTGTACAATGGAAATGCTTTTATTATTTTTCCATAACTGCATTCAGTGTTGCATGTTCTATAATCCTGTAAGAGAAGTACTTGTTGCCCCACAAGAAAATGAATGTTTGTTCCAGTTAAGAGGTTAATGTGATGATTTTATTTAACAAGTTATCACTAAATTATACTATTATGATATAGGCATAATGTATAATAATTCTGATTCATAACTGGAGTGGTTAAAAAAGCTAAATTTTTATAGGTATTTTTTCAACAATTTTTTAAGGATTCATAGATATATTCATGTGAATTAACATGATGTATGTACATATTAATAATTTGCACTAAAACTGACTTTGCCATGTAACCTGGTCCGGATAAAATTTACATAATGCTGTATCCTATCTAAAGTTAGAAAAGCTATTAACCCTTTCAGGGTCCACAGGCCCTCTCAGGGTCCCCCAAATTTCAACAAAAAAAAAATATTTTTTTTTTCTTGTGAAAAGTTAGAGAATCTTTTCCTGATCATAATGACACCAAAAGTATGAAATCTGATGGAAAACTTAGGGAATTATGCTCTTGCGAAGTTAGCGGTCTTAACAGCGTTTATGCATCGGCGATTTTGCCCAGTTTGAGCCCTATTTTCGGCCAATTCCAATGTACTAGTCGACAAAAATCATAACTATTTCGCTAGAACTCCATTCTTTCTATCGAATGAGTACAAGAAACCACCCATTTACCGATTTCAATTATCCAATAAAGTGGTCAGAATTTAGCAATTTTGCCAATTTCACACAAATTTCAAAAGATGCCAATTTTTGAATAGAGTCCAGAATAAACAAGAAAGACATTCCTGGCACTAAAATAACAAGTTCTCTGTTCGTTAGTCACATCCCCAGGCCCCTCTTATATTTCTTTGGCTTTCCACTTTGAATTTTTATTCTTACAAAAAATAAAAGATTTACTGTTATGCAGACTACTGCATTAGTGTAGAAATGGTATAAATAATATCAGCGCACTAGTGAAAGAATATTAGACTCACCAATTGACATGTATTTGACGCTTGGCATGATTTGTTTACTTTTGAACTTTGGTAAAAATTGAACATTTCTGCTACTTTGAGCTCAATTTCAAGGTACTTTTCATTGTAAAACCAGTCAAAATCATCTCAATTTCTGTAATATGTCTTCCATTCTATAAAATAAGACCAGGAAAACTAGAATACAACAATAAATACCATACAAAAATACAATGCAAAGTCGCTGTTTTAATCCAAAAACACGGTCAAAGTTTTTTTTTTTTTCTCATTACACACTGTGTGCTGCAAGATTTTTTTTATACTGCGCACACTGACCACATAGACCCATTCTTTCATATGTAGGCCTACCAGCTTTCTCTCACTAGATTTGAGGGTGCTAGAATGTAGGCGTACTAGTACGTCAAAACCCTGGGGCATAAGCCGTACTAGTACGGCCGAAACCCTGAAAGGGTTAATATTTAGCATTACTGTAATGATATACAGTATGTTCATTTTGCAGTGATGTGAATGATATTTGTGGCATTAAGACAAAAATTAATACATTATATGCTTGCCTTGTTTGGCAAAATGATCATTGTTTAACAATCACTCTGCAAGATGTAGCTAAAAATCATGATATATCTGCTATGTTTAAATAGCTATCCCACTTTTTTTCTATTTTTTCAGGCAAGTTGCAAACATTGGATCGCCTGTTGCGGCAGTTGAAGACTGGTGGTCACCGAATCCTCATCTTCACTCAGATGACAAAAATGTTGGATGTTTTTGAGGCTTTCCTTAATTATCATGGCCATCTTTATTTGAGGCTAGATGGCACTACAAGAGTTGACCAAAGACAGGTAGGTTTCTTTTAACACCTAATTACATTACAGATTTAGTCATGAAAGTTACTCATTAAGTTTGTTTTTTATTCTCAGTGACTCACGAAATCGTAATGACACAATTGCAACAAACCATACCACGGGTGGGGTTTGAACCCACAGCCAGAGAGTCTCAAAATTCAAGACTGTTGCATTAACCACTGGGCCAGCTAGCTTCAATAAGATTCATCCAACTAGGTATATGTCTACACCATAGGAAGGTTAGCATAGGCACCACTGTGGCCACACATGCAAGTTTTTACAGACGAATCTCTCGCTAGCATGGCCGTGACCTAGTTGGATGAATCTTATTGAAGCTAGATGGCCCAGTGGCTAACGCAACGGTCTGGAGTTTTGAAAGTCTCTGACCGCGGGTTCAAACCCCACCCGTAGTATGGTTTGTTTGCAATCGTGTCATTACGATTTCATGAGTCATGTTGACGGCTTTGAGGGGACTTGAGCTAGAGTTTGTCACGGCCGTGCTAGCGGGAGATTCATTTGTAAAAACTTGCTTATGTGGTCACAGTGGTGCCTATGCTAACCTTCCTATGGTGTAGAAATATACCTAATTGGATGAATCTTATTGAAGCTAGCTGGCCCATTGGCTAACACAATGATCTGGAGTTTTGAGACTCTGACCACGGGTTCAAACCCCACCCGTGGTATGATGTTTGTTTTTTTTATTCTCAATCTTTTTTGGAGTTAATTTTGTCTTTTCTTGAAAATTTGCTGTTGTACTTTTAGGTTGTTTACTCTATTCGTAGGGACTTCAGTGCAAAAATGTTCGGTGTTCTGTAGAATAATAATTATTCATATAGCATACAGTTCTTGTATATGTCAGTAAGATGAAATGTGTAATAATGAATGTAGAGAAATAAGTTTGTTGATTTTTATGTGATAACCTGTTTGTTTTTACACAAAGAGAAGTAAATGTATTAAACTCTCACAAGATTTTTTTTTAGGTTTGCATTGGCTGTCACATTTGCTACCCCTTGTAAAATATTCCATTCATTTACATGTGTACTTCTCTTAATATTCAGCTCATGAATCTTCACATGAAAAACTTTAACTCAAAACACTCTTGAAATGAACATTACAGGTATTGATGGAGAGATTTAACCAAGATAAGAGAATCTTTGCTTTCATTTTGTCAACACGGTCAGGAGGCATTGGAGTGAATCTCACGGGTGCTGATACTGTTATCTTTTACGATTCAGATTGGAACCCAACCATGGATGCCCAGGTATTTATTTGTTTTGAATCAGAAATTCTTAAGCTTTCTCAAATGTTCAAAACGTAAAAAAAAGAATAAGTACTGTTAGAGTCAGGAAAGAAATTTGAGTTCAGTGCTTTGGTATTTCCTTCAGGCTCAGGATCGTTGTCACAGGATTGGACAGACAAGAGATGTGCATATCTATCGTCTCATCTCAGAGAAGACCATCGAAGAGAATATCTTGAAGAAAGCAAACCAGAAGCGCCTTTTGGGTGATCTGGCAATTGAAGGAGGCAATTTTACCACCGCACACTTCAAAACGGTAAAATATCAGTATACTATATTTTTTTATCAAGTGCCTTGTGTTAGGCTATGCTTATTCACAACCTTAGTCAGAAGGATGTTGGAGAATAGTGAGAACATAACTAGGACTTCTCTCTATTCTCTGATAAACTCTCCAGCAGCATAGAGGAGGGAGTGTTCATATAGGCTCTTGGTGTTGGTACGTCATCCTTCTGACTTTTCTATCTCAAGAGTTTTATATTCTTGATAACCCTCATATCTTATAATATCCCTTTTCAAAACGGGACACCTACCTTTCTAATGTTATTAACTAGACAAGTAATTCTAGCACATTCTGTACAGTAAGGCTGGTTCAGTTCTGTGTATACACATCATGTAGTCTGTACCTGATACAGATATTGATACTTGGGTTAGTTTATTAATTGATGAGGTGAATCATAGAATTGATGAAGGTAAAAAGGTGAGTGGAGCACTGAGGAGTCTGTGGAGACAAAGAATGTCATGCATGGAAGCAAAGATGGTGTGAAGCATGGGTGGTGAATTTTGCAACAAGGAGAAGGCAATGAAGATGTTGTGTCTAAGGGCAATGTACAGTGTGAATATAATTCAGAGAATCTGTAGCTTGGATATTAGGAGGAGGTGTGAGGTTTCTAAAATTATTATCCAGAGGACAGAGGAAGGGTTGTTGAGGTGATTCAGACATTTAGAGAGGATGGAACAAAATAGAATGACTTGGAGGGCATATAAATCTGTAGCAGATGAAAGGCAGAGTATGGGTCATCCTAGAAAAGGTCAGAGGAAGGTGGTAAAGGAAGTTTTGTATGAAGGGGGTTTGGCCTTTCAGCAAGCGTGCTTGAGCATGTTAGATAAGAGTGAGTGGAGACGAATGGTTTTTATGACTTGAAGTAGTGTTGGAGTGTGAGCAAAGTAACATTTATGAAAGGGACCAGGGAAACTGATTAGCCACACTTCAGACCTTGAGGTGGGAAGTACAGTGCCTGCACTCTGAAGAAGGGGTGTTGATGCAGTATTTTATCTGTTGTGTAGGCATGCCTCAGGCAAGACAGTAATGGAGTGAATGATGAAAGTGTTTCTTCTTTTTCAAGTCATCCTGCCTTGGTGGGAAACGGCCGATGTGTTAATAACAAAAAATATAAAATAATGCCATAGTGAAACAAATGAGGATTTCTTGATAGAAATGACAGTAATCTTACACCAACTGAAAATACTTTTGAGGCACTGTCATTGACCTCCACTCGAGAACAGCAGATATTAGAGCCAGCAAATAAAACCCCCTAAATTCCACCAATATAATGACATTTGTCTTTGCAAACATACGGGGTCTAAAGCCGTCAAAAAACAACAAAATCCCCTACATCAAGGGACTGCTCACGGAGTCAAATGCAATGTTTGCAGCATTCACAGAGACCCACACAAAGGATCATTTTGACAACGAAATATGGATCCCAGATTATAACCGAGACTAAGCTTTGCAACAAGGAGGGGTTGGTCTGTACGTCGCAGAGTCACTCATTTGCTCAGAACTACTAAGCACCTCAAATGATGTAGTTGAAGTTTTGGCGGTAAAGATTGAAAACCAGAACCTCGTCATTGTGGTTGTATACAAGCCTCCAGATGCAACTTCCCAGCATTTCTGGGAGCAGGTTTCAAAAATTGACCACTGTCTGGAAAATCTCGCAGCTCCTGTCTAAACATCTTGCTACTAGGAGATTTCAACTTGAGACTAAAGGTCAACAATCCAAATGAATTCTTTATGAACGAGACCCAAAATTTGGTCATCTCAAAAATCTCAGATATTATCCTAACACCACAAGACTTTGAAAAGGTAACAAATGATATGCCCATGCACTCTGCCCCAGGCCCAGACTCGGGGAGCTCCGTGTTCATCAAGAACTGCAATAAGCCCGTCACATGCCTTCAGCATTAAGGAGAGGGAGCATGGACACAGGGGTCATCCCACACTCACTAAAAACAACAGACATAGCCCCACTCTACAAAGGTGGAAGTAAAGCAATTGCAAAGAACTACAGACCAATAGCACAAACATCCCATATCATAAAAATGTTTGAAAGGTTTCTATGAAGCAAGATTGCCAACTACCTAGATACCCATCAGTTACACAACTCAGGGCAACACGGGTTTAGAGCAGGTCGCTCCTGCTTGTCCCAACTACTGGACCAATATGACAAAGTCCTGGATGCTGTAGAGGATAAACAAAGTACAGATGTAGTATACACAGACTTTGCAAAAGCTTTTGACAATTGTGACCATGGTGTAATAGTGCACAAAATGCGTGATGAAGGAATAACAGGAAAAGTTGTAGAGTAATAGTAAACAGAGTAAAGTCTGAGGCAGCTATGGTGAAAAGCTCTATTCTACAAGGCACAGTACTCGCTCCCATTCTATTCCTCATATCTGACATAGACAGAGATGTAAGCCATAGCTCGGTGTCTTCCTTTGTGGATGACACCTGGATTGCCATGACAGTGACCTCCATCGAAGACACCACAAGACTCCAAGCGGACATAAACCAAATCTTCAAGTGGTCCACTCAAAACAATATGAAGTTCAATGAAGAGAAATTTCAACTACTCATATATGGAAAACTTGAGGAAATTAAAGCTGTATCAGGGTATAGGACAAACTCTAACCATACAATAGAGCAAAAAAGTAATGTGAAGGACCTGGGAGTGATAATGTCAGAGGATCTCATCTTCAATGACCACAACAATGTATCTACCGCATCTGATAGGAAAATGATAAGATGGATGATGAGAACCTTTAAAACTAGGGACGCCAAGACCATGATGATTCTCTTCAAATCGCTTGTTCTCTCAAGGCTGGAATACTGCTGTACAGTAACTGCCCCCTTTAAGACAATCAATGGAGAGTGTACAAAAAACTTTCATGGCACACATAATTACGATAAAGCACCTGAATTACTGGAAACAGTTGTAGGCCCTTGATCTGTATTCCCTGGAGCACAGGTGAGAGAGATACATGATAATATACACTTGGAAAATCCTGGGGGGGATTAGTTCCAAACTTACATATGAAACTCATTCCCTATGAAAGCAGAAGACTTGGCAGGAGATGCAACATTTCCCCAATGAAAAGTAGGGGTGCAACGAGTACACTGAGAAACAACGCAATAAGTGTGAGGGGCCCAAGACTGTTCAGCTGCCTCCCAGCATACATAAGGGGGATTACCAGTAGACCCCTGGCTGTCTTCAAGAAAGCACTGGACAGGCACCTAAAGTCAGTACCTGACCAGCCGGGCTGTGGTTCGTATGTCAGTTTGCATGCGACCAGCAGTAACAGCCTGGATGATAAGACCCTGATCCACCACGAGGCCTGGTCTCAGACCTGGTCTCAGTGGTTAATATGGTTGTCTTAGTTCAAGCAAACAACCTTTGACTGTGGGTTTATCTACATGACACTATTTTTGGCAACTTGTAATAAAGTAAACTTTTTCAATTGTTTATTATCAAAATAGTTTTTTGTGTGTGTATGTGTGTGTGAGAGAGTGCGTGTGTGTGTGTGAGAGAGTGCATGTGTGTGTGAGAGTGCATGTGTGTGTGTGAGGTGCATGTGTGTGTGAGAGAGAGTGCATGTGTGTGTGAGAGTGTGTGAGAGAGTGCATGTGAGAGAGTGCACGTGTGTGTGAGAGTGCATGTGTGTGTGTTTGTGTGTGAGAGAGAGGGTGTGTGTGTGTGTGTGTGTATGTGTGAGAGAGAGAGAGAGAGAATAATTCAACTTCATTTACTCTATGCTTAATTCTGGCTCATCATTAATTTCAAAAAATGTTATTACTCCTCATCCCAAGCCTGAAATTGCTGCCTAGGTTTCATTATCCACATTTAATACTGTTTTAAAAGTACTCTGTCTTTACATCCTTGTCGTATCATCATTTTCACGCTGTTTGTTTTGTCATCACATTGTTCTACTGGAAGGTACTACTATCCTGTTTTAAGAGTATGAAACAGAAACCTGTTAAATGGTTTTCACCGCTTGCAGGATTGCTAAACTTTTCTTTGTCTCATGAACATGTAAGACAACAGGTAATGCAATATTCAAAAGTTTCTTTTATTCCGTACATGCTTTCCTTTTTAGTTCTTATTCCTATAATATTTCCTCCCCAATTTTTGAGGCCTAGTCCAAAACCAGTCCATGGGTATCACTGAATACTTGAACCATTAATAGATGCCATTTCCAGTAGATTTGTTTTTTATATGCTTAAGGATTTTTATAATATACAGTATTGTAATGCTAACTGTTCTATCCCTTGTTAAAAAAAATATTTCCCAATTAAAATAAATGTTTTACAACAATATGAAAATAGTGCTTTATCACTAATTTTGTATATTTTTCCAGTCAACCATACAGGATCTGTTCGATGTGAATGTAAATGAAAATGATGCTTCGAAGAGAATGTCTGAAATCATTGAAAAAAATAAACCATCAGACGAGGTAAGCTATCTTAATCTCATATTTATAGTGAAGCACAGGTGTTCTACTGTGGTAAGAACTGAGGGTTACTTGGAAAATTGTAGGAAAATGCAAGTGTTGATACAGTTTTATGCACGTTGATTTAGAATAAACTTTGTAACTTCTTAATAGTAAAAGTAGTAAATGGTAGCAGTAGTGAATGTGAAAGATGGATTTTCAGTATAATTCACTAGTTAAGCCAAATGTAAAAATAATTATATAAGGTTCCTGTGATAAGGTATGCCAGGTTACTAGGGGGACATTGTTACAGATATCATTGCAATTATAAGTCTTAGAATGAACCTTAGAGAATTTTTCTTCTTTATGGGAAAAAAAGGTGAAAGATGAATGAAGTGATAACACTGCCAAAAAATGGAATTAGTATTATTGTTTCTAAGTGAAAGCTTATTGAAATAAAGTGCAGTTAGTGAAGAATTTTTTGTATCCTTCATCACATGCCTGCTTTTACAAGAAACTACATATCTAATAGGTATTGCATTAGTTGAATTAGGTTATTTTCTAGCACAGATTAAATAGAATTTTAGTTACTTTTTACAAGTTTTAATTAATGCTTTACAAAAATTCATCAAATATTTTGTAGATTTTGTCTTTTCTGATCACTGTTTCTTCTGTTAATGATTTAAGAATCAGCCAGATCCACTTCTGAGTTTACTGTATGAGTGAAGTACCATTGTTAAAATAAATAAAATGCCATCTCTCACCATTATTTTATTAATAGGGCAAAGAAGTATCAGAAGGAGAGAGAGTGAAGATGGGAGCATTTGAGAGTGCTTTAGCTGCAGCTGAGGATGAAACTGACGTTCAAGCAGCTAAGACTGCCAAGGCAGAAATGGCTGCAGAATTAGCAGAGTTTGATGAAAACATTCCAATAGAAGAAGGAGAAGGAGGAGAGGAAATGAGTAAGGCTGAACAAGAAGTTGCTCTTCTCATGAAACAGGCAAGTTCAGTTAATGTGGTAAAAGTTCTCTTTTGTACAATCTTGGGTTTCATTGTTGCAGAGTATTGTAATACATACAGGTGTCTCTCACTTTATGCACTAGCATTCCAGACCCATGGTAGTTGTACTAAGCTCACACCATCATTATTTAATTTCATGCAATAAAAATCTTAATACACTTAGTGAATTACATTGATCATATAAAGTGGAACCTTGGTTTTCGTTTGCCCTGGTTTTCATCAAATTCGGTTTTCGATGACTTTTTTTTTCATCAAAATTTTGTCCAAGTTTTCGTTCATCGCCTCGGTTGTTGTCGAGTTGACAGTGGTCCACTGTACCGAACGTGTCCACCTGCGCCCACACAAAGCATCCCACGCATGCGTTCTGAGTCAGTCTGGCTTTATTTCTCGTCAAGCGAACATTACCCTGCACTTTCATACGAAACATTTCATAATAATCCATTGTTTTTTGTGCTTGTTTATTGAGTACCACAGTCAGACATTTACCATTTTAGTGAAAAATTGGGAAGCATGATAACTGATGCACACATGAACAAAGACCACGTGCTGCTCACAGTCGACTTCAATATAAGCCTCCCGCATGACCAAGACCCACAAGTAACTGAATTCACAAATACTATGAGCAACTGCTTGCTGCTACCAACAGTAACAAAACCTACAAGAATCTCAGAGACTAGTATCTCCTTATTTGACCACATCTGGACTAACACTATATCCCATTTAAAATCAGGTATAATCACAGATAACATCACAGACCACTACCCTACCTTTCTCATAACCAACCTAGGTAAATTGCCCTAAGACACTACAAAATTTACCTTCAGACTTCATAATGAGACAGTTATTAACCCTTAAACTGTCCAAACGTAGATCTACATTTACTCGCGTAGAGTTCCAAACGTAGATCTACAATTTTTCACATAGGAATACATGTAAAATTGAACGTAGATCTACGTTTGGACAGTTTAAGAGTTAATAACTTTATAACAACAGTGACAAACATCGACTGGCACAGTGAGCTAGAAATCTATACAGATATTGATGAATGTATTAATAATTTTCTAGAAAAGACCCAATACCTCTATAGCATGCATTGCCCTAAAAAATTAAACAGATCATAGCTAAGAGATTGAACAGTCCTTGACTAACACCCAGCACTCTCAAATCTATTAATATAAAGCACCTATATGAAAAACAGTACAGAATGGGACAAATAACCACAGACCAAACAAAACATTACTTGTCAATCCTAACCAGCCTGATAAGAAGGTCCAAAAAATTGTATTACGAGAATAGATTACATAACTTAAAAGGTGACATGAAAAAGACCTGGAAAACCTTATCGGAAATTCTAGGAACTAAAAAAATATCCAGAAAAAGAACAAACTAACAAAACCAGATGAATCCCTACTCCCATCGACTGAAACAGCAAACAGACTGTGTTTTCTTATCCACCATAGGAAAAAACCTAGCAAGCAGAATTCCAAGCTCAAACACCCCACCAAAAGACTACCTCACTGGCACCTAACTGAACACACTATTCCTAGCTCCGACCAACCCAACAGAAGTTTCACTCATCATCAACACACTTTAAAAACAAGGCAGGAGATTTAAATAACTTAGCAACTTTTATGTACAAAAAAGCTTCTCAAGTACTGTCACCAATTATTGCAACACTTTAACAAATCCATCGAATTGTCCACCTTCCCATCAGTTCTCAAAATAGCGAGGGTCACCCCGATATACAAAGGAGGAGATCAAGCAGACCTGAATAACTATAGGCCAATATCTAACTTTCCCCTTCTCTCTAAAATCTTTGAAAAATTAATTCATAGGCAGATCTATTTCTACCTCATCTCCCACAACATACTCAACCCCTGTCAGTTTGGATTCAGGCGTAATAAAAACATGAATGATGCTATTATACACTTGCTAGAACTAATATACACTGCTCTTGAGGAAAAAGAAGCCCCACTGGGAATCTTCATTGATTTACGTAAAGCTTTTGATAAAGTTGACCATGATTTGTTGCACATAAAATTAACACACTATGGTATAAGAGGGCACTCCCTCAACTACCTAAGTCATACCTTAGCAACAGAAGCCAATATGTGTACACAAATGGAGCTAACTCTTCCATACAACCAATTATAGTTGGGGTCCCACAGGGAAGTGTCCTTTGCCCACTTCTCATTCTCATTTACATCAACGACCTACCAAATGCATCTCGACTACTCAAACCCATATTATTTGTAGATGACACTACATATGTCTTCTCTCACCCAAGCCCAATCATACTGGCCAACACTGTTAATGCCGAATTACAGAAAGTAACTACCTGGATAATGACTAACAAGCTTACTCTCAATATTGTAAAAAACCTATTTCATTCAGTTTGGAAACAGAGCTACAAATGTCCCACTTAACATAATGATAAACGGATCACCTGTCACAGACTCACAGAGGGAAAATTCTTAGGAATCCACCTTGACAATAGCCTCAAATTTCAAACACGCACACAACAAATTTCCAAGAAAATCTCTAAGTCTGTAGGCATACTATCAAAGATACAGTACTATGTTCCACAACCAGCTCACCTTGCCCTGTATCACTCCCTCATTTACCCCTATCTCACCTATGGAATTTGTGCATGGGGCTCAACAATAAATCATCTCAGATCACTAATAACCCAGCAAAAGGCTGCAGTCAGAATGATGATAAATTCCCATTCCAGACAGCATACTCCACCAATATTCAAAAGTCCAAACTTACTCACCGTAAAGAACATCCATACTTATTATTGCGCCTACTATGTACTACACACTACACTCAAATATAAAGCCTCCACTCAAACTTCTCCTTACCAACCTTAACAGGACACAAGACAGATCTTTGATGTTCCCCATGTCCATCTCACACTATGTAAAAACTCTATGCACATAAAAGGCCCAGAAATTTAGAATTCATTACCAGCGAATATCAAAGGAACCCTGTCTGTACATCAATTCAAGACTCTTCTTAAAAACCACCTACTCACCCAAAACTAAATACTCAGTACTTAACTTTACCTACAAAGCTACCAAATCACTCTCCACTGCCTCAGAATATCATTGCTTACTGTGTTACTCCCCTAGCCTCAGAACCCCATAAGTAAATGCTCTAAGTACTACCGTCCTGCCAAGTGAGTGTGAAACAAAAGCCTGTAATTGTTTTACATGATGGTAGGATTGCTGGTGTCTTTAGTCTGTCTCATAAATATGCAAGATTACAGGTACGTCTTGCCACTTCTACTTACACTTAGGTCACACTACACATACATGTACATGTTTATTTATACACACTAATCTGAGTTTTCTTTGATTTTATCTTAATAGTTCTTGGTCTTATTACTTTTCCTTTTATATCCATGGGGAAGTGGAATAAGAAACTTTCCTCCGTAAGCCATGTGTGTTGTAAAAGTCAACTAAAATGCCAGGAACAATGAGATAGTAACCCCTTTTCCTGTAATAATTACTAAAAAGAATAATAATAAGAAAATTGTCAAAAATGGGAAGTCTGAATGTGCGTGGATGTTGTGCAAATGATAAGAAAGAGATGATTGTGGATGTTATGAATGAGAAGCTGGAAGTCCTGGCTTTAAGTGAAACAAAGCTGAAGGGGGTGGGAGAGTTTTAGTGGAGAGGAATAAATGGGATTAGGTCAGGGGTTTCAAATAGAGTTAGAGCTAAAGAAGGAGTAGCAATAATATTGAAGGATAAGTTATGGCAGGAAAAGAGGGACTATAAATGTATTAATTCAAGGATTATGTGGAGTAAAATACAGGTTGGATGTGAAAGGTGGGTTATAGTAAGCATATATGCACCTGGAGAAGAGAGAAGTGTAGAGGAGAGAGGGAGATTTTGGGAAATGTTGAGTGAATGCGTGGGCAGTTTTCAACCAAGTGTGAGAGTAATGGTGGTTGGGGATTTCAATGCTAAAGTGGGCAAAAATGTTGTGGAGGGAGTAGTAGGTAAATTTGGGGTGCCAGGGGTAAATGAAAATGGGGAGCCTTTAATTGAGCTATGTGTAGAAAGAGGTTTGGTAATAAGTATATATATTTTATGAAGAAGAGGATAAATAAATATACAAGGTATGATATAGCACGTAATGAAAGTAGTTTATTAGATTATGTATTGGTGGATAAAAGGTTCTGGGTAGGCTCCAGGATGTACATGCTTATAGAGGGGCAACTGATATATCGGATCATTATTTAGTTGTAGCTACAGTTAGAGTAAGAGATAGATGGGAAAAGAGGAAAATGGCAACAAGAAGTAAGAGGGAGGTGAAAGTGTATAAACTAAGGGAGGAGGAAGTTCGGGTGAGATATAAGCAACTATTGGCAGAAAGGTGGGCTAGTGCAAAGATGAGTAGTGGGGGGGTTGAAGAGGGTTGGAATAGTTTTAAAAATGCAGTATTAGAATGTGGGGCAGAAGTTTGTAGTTATAGGAGGGTGGGTGCAGGAGGAAAGAGGAGTGATTGGTGGAATGATGAAGTAAAGGGTGTAACAAAAGAGAAAAAGGTAGCTTATGAGAGGTTTTTATAAAGCAGAAGTGTTATAAGAACAGTAGAGTATATGGAGAGTAAAAGAAAGGTGAAGAGAGTGGTGAGAGAGTGCAAAAGGAGAACAGATGATAGAGTGGGAGAGGCACTGTCAAGAAATTTTAATGAAAAGAAAAAATTTTCAAGTGAGTTAAACAAGTTAAGAAAGCCTAGGGAATGAATGGATTTGTTAGTTAAAAAGAGAGTAGGGGAGCTAGTAGATGGGGAGATGGAGGTTTTGGGTAGATGGCGAGAATGTTTTGAGGAACTTTTAAGTGTCGACGAAGAAAGGGAGGCGGTAATTTCGTGCACTGGCCAGGGAGGTACACCATCTTTTAGGGGTGAAGAAGAACAGGCTGTGAGTGTGGGGGAGGTGCGTGAGGCATTACATAGAATGAAAGG